TAAAATATTGGTGCATCAACATGACTGTACAATTTTGCAAATTGTGTCAGATGCAGAGAGTGCAGATAAAATTGTAGGTCCTAGACTCCAAAGTTTCAGTGGTATCAAGTTCAGTTTTAATGTAATCCTCGTGTAGTGATGATTTTGTGATAAGAAAAGAAATACTAAATGGAGAGAAAAGAAATATAAACAACAAAAGGAGAAAATAGAAAAAATTTAATCTATAAACACGAGAAACAGAAAATAAAAGAAACTTTCCAGATGTCATGCAATCAGAGTGTGAACAAAAAAATTGATTGCTTAAAGAATGAAATTTACATTGTCCAATGAAGAAATTTTGAAGAACTTTATAAGCTTGAACTAATGCTTCAGATTAAGAAAAATAAATTATAGAAAAAGAGATTTATGAAGGAAGAAGAAAAGGTACAAAGAAAGAGGATAAGAAGACATCCTCTTAAGAAAACAAAACAGAGATCAAAACTAGAACCTAGGAGATTGGAAAACGTAACAAAGCATGCCATCAAAGCTCAAACAGAAGGCATAACATTCAAAATGTGTCTGATGTCAGGTAATCAGAGAAACATGGTTTCCATCTGTAGGAGCTTGTGATGAAGGTTGCTTTTCTGGTTGATCAAGCAAAACTATTGAACCAGATGGAACTAGTGCAACTAGATCAGGGGGTTGATCTTTCCCCACTGTAGGATTGGCCTGCAAAGGGATAAAGAAAACATATGATTACTTATAATGAATAAATATGTTATCAAATAAGAAAAGGAAAGGTGATGCCAATAAATTTACTCACCTCGAAATCAACATAAGAGGGATCCCTTCCTATTGACTTAAGAAACTTGTCAAGATCACGGGTGTTTAGAGCTGCAAGTGGGTAGAGGAGTGGAATCTAATTAAATTATTGATCAGTGTAGTGCATCAAAGCATGATGGACAAGTCACCACAGTAAAATCTAGTTAAATGTAAGTGACAATGGACCTGAACAGTTATGTCTTACATAAAACTAATTGAGCTAAAAGATATCTCCATGCTACAAAAGACTGCATAAATATTTAATTTAAGAGTAAACACCCTATTTAGTCCCTGGCAATATCTACGAAGTCCTTTTCAGTCCCTGGCAATAAAAAAGGATCAAATTGGTCCCTGAAAGTACAAGAAAAGGGCCACTCTACATATTTGGGAGTTGACATAAGGACTAACATGACCCTTTTTTTGTAATTTCAGGGACCAATTTGGTCCTTTTTTATTGTCAGGGACTAAGAAGGACTTCGTAGATATTGACAGGGACTAAAAAGGGTGTTTACTCTTAATTTAAAAATTTGTTATTATGAGATAACATGTAAGGAATAGATAGATACCATCAACTGATGACAACAGACAGATCATAGAGCCCCAAGAAAGCACTCGTGAAAACTGAAGACAATGACATTTTTTTCTTAAAATATTTCTGAGATAACAAGTGTGCAAAATGGAGAGTAATAAAATTGATAACCTCAGTCCTCAGTAACTTTCAGCTATTTCTCCTATTTATTACTAATTCTCTTATTGACAATCATTTCTAAACTAATTCAATTGGCAACAGCATCTGATATAAAACGACTTCTTTGGCAATTGTTAGCCTTGACAAACATATGTTAACAGATAAGTCAGTAGATATCCCACTTGTGTATTTGTCAAGCCTGAAAGATATATACTTAATAGGTCTCATACAGATGACATCCTCCACTTCCTACCTAAAGTAAGAGAACATTCTATTAGCCAAAGAGTCAACAAAATTTTAGCACAGCTGGACGAACATATATTCAATAGGAACTAGGAAGGAAGCATTTTCATACTAAGTTTAGAGAATCATAGAATTCTAAGACATCGATGGTTCATTAACTTGTGTAGATTATAATTATCATGCACTAAAGTAAGAAATGAGGACTATAGTACAGAAAAGTAGCCCTAACATGCAAATGCTTTCTTCATTCTACTCATAAAACTTTTTTTTTTCCTCAATGATAGCTTTAGCCATTAGGAAACCTAATGCAGGTTTCTAATCCAGAGCATTCTCTTAATTCAGTATGACTTTTGTTCAAAGTCACTAATGGACTAACTAAAATTCAATACTGTGATTGCTAAGGTTACTTCATAGAATTTACTACAAATAAAGCATTATCCTAAAAATTGTAACACCAATGTATATAACAAATAGATCCACAAAAGATGAGATACAGCAACATTTAGGGTTACTTAGTTATACTTCAGAGTCCACTGATTTCATATTTGTCCAAATCTTTAACAAGAAAGCGTTCTATTTTAGAACACTAGCATAAAAGAAATACTTTATTTCATAAAATTTAAGAGTTAGTCAAAAATATGCAACTGACTTTTTTCTCTTCATAAAGGAGACTTCTCACTTACATATGGACATGTCATTTGACAGCGGATGGAAGAAGCAGTGCTCCTGAGTCTTGAACCCTTGATCCAACAACAGCGAAACATCTCTTCAGAAAGAGAAAGATGTGACACATAAAAGACAGAAATTAGTTTCTTTCAACTATATTTTCTAATTCAGGTCTGAACATTCATCGTAAACACTCTAATAAGCATAAACACCACTACATCAACAGGCAAATGAATTATCATTTATCAAAGCAAGTTTTGCTACAGACATGACACATAATCTTTCAGCATGCTCCCGTTCGTCATTCAAATGAATGTCATTTTCAAGCTGACAGAAAAAGCATCAATAACTTGAAATTCAAAATTAGTATTTTTTTCAAAAGAGAAGAAACTTTATACGAAAAACATTTAGTCATGGATTTCAAAACAAACTATCCTCATGCGGAAATAAGCAAACACCTCTAGTCATGTTATGTTCGCATAGTTTTTCATGTTTAATATTGTATCTCACATGATCAGAAAGTAAGGTATTGCAATTAATAGCAAGCAACAAGATTTAACAAGAAAAAAAAATTAGATATCTCATAAGTAGGAAAAAGAATAATAACATTTACATACCGTGCTGATACATTCACTAGCGCAAACGGAGTGACGCAACCCAAGGGCACCTTGTGAGTAAGGAAAAACAAGGACTTCAAATAAGTCAATGATAATTTCAACCAAGTTATTTATTAAATAATCCTACTAAAATATTAAACTAAGAAATGGTTTCTGTAACCAAGGCAAGAAGAAATCCATAAATGGGATCAACTGCTTTATATCCCAATCACACCAACTCAATCAGAAAATGCCTCAATAAGAACTAGTTTCCTTATGTACTATATATTGGATAGCAACAAGCAACATGGTAAGTAGCTTTTGTGCAAGGACTGAGTTTGTTAAGAAGCCAAGAATTGCACAGAAACATGTCTAAAAATCAGACAGTATACCTCCAAAAGATATCTGCTAATTTAAAGGTTGAAAACAACTTCTTTAACAAGGTAAAATAAAGATAGAAATATATTCCCAATAGTAATAATAAAGACAGAAAGAAATGAAGGTTTAAGCAACAAAGGAATAGAACAAAGGCATAGACAAACCTGAAGTATTTCTCCTATAGCCTCTGCGGGCGCCATTCTCAGACCACCTTTTCCTAAACCCAGCCGCTGAGATAATACTGCTCCCATTGGACACAACAAATTACTATCATGAGTATCCATTAAAGCCAGGCCAAACAAGCAAGTCAACAAATTCCTCTCAGAATTACAAAATTATTCGTACCTTTTATATCTACTTTGGTATTGGCCAAAGCAGAAACAACATAAAACCTGTGTTTCTTGTCCTGTAAAATTGTAGTAATCAGGGCATATACATATTTGAACAACAGAAGGGTGTTTTCTGCTTTAAATTCTAAACGCACATTACCTTCAAAAATAGATTTTTACTCATCCCACCCCCTAAATGTCCAACATATTTTTCCTGTATGAAAATGGATACAGAATCAGGGGAAAAAAAACATATGAACACAATATACACAAAGCAACCTACAATCTTTTAAAGGCCTTTTACCCCTTCCTCAACTGTCAAAACAACTGGATGCTCATACTGGGAAAACTGAATTGGAAGCTCCTGAGCAACACAAACTAACAACAATTAGTCCCATGAAAGAAGGAAAAATATAATTGAAAAGATGATGTTTGATAAAGAATTTAAAAACAAGTGTAGTTAAGGTTTCGACTTCCCCCAATATCCTCAATATGTTATGAATTAAACAGTCAAGAATCTGTTTCTTGATATATTGCCAATCAATTCTTTCTAAGTTAATTACGGCTCAATTCCTTGTTACCATAAATCTATGTAATCTTGGAAGAACTCTAGTTCCCCGATTATTCCCCAAGAAAACATGCCTTAAGATCAAGAATTTCAAGATTGCATAATTACCCTATGTCTATTCCTAGATCACACGTGTTCTGTCTGAAAGACAGAGATGTCCAACCGGTGGCTGGTATATTTTATGTAGGATCTAGGTGCCCTCTCTCAAGTATCTATGAATGAGATACCCTTGAGGGTAGGCTGATCAATGTGCACAATAATAATCGATATGATCAAGGTGTGGGGTGTGTGCACAGTGACAAGCTAAGAGAGAGGGTTTAGAGAGTGTGTACCTTATTGGTTTAACCCTGTATTTATAAATGGGTTACCTGAAGGAGTGTACTTTTGGGCCTCTCAGGAATATTGGGGGCCCAAGTCCAACTGCTTAGCTGTCTGGATAGGATTGTCATCAATAGGAGATTCCCTTCCTTTTGTGTTGTCCTTTATTGGTCCTTCTAGAATACGGGCCTTTGTCAGGTCCATAACAGTTGCCCCCAGCCCGGTAGTTTGGTTGTCCAGGCTGCCGGGGTGAATTGTCTTGCCTTTTGCTTCAGGTTTTCTGTTGAACTGATGACATTTGAGTTTTTGTAAACTTTCTGCATATATGTTTCTTACATCTCAGGCTTTTAAACTGGGGTCCTCATTGCCCCTTATCTCGGCGGGTTGATCATAAACTATGGAAAATATTTCACGTATTCCTGTACCGAGTTTTGGATGAGCTTGAGTGGTTGGGATCCAACTGGCAAGCTGCCCCCAAGCATCATTCCATACGCACACATCCTGAGCTTGTAGCTTTCTTCTGGAACCGGGAATGATTTTCCCTTGTCAATTATGTGGACGGGTTATGCATGAACCCGGTAAGATATTCTGCATGTGTAATTGGGTAACGATTGAGCTTGAGTAGTTGGGATCCAACTGGCGAGTTGCCCCCAAGCATCATTTGTATAACCTGGATAAGAGTTGTCGTATACCTGCATGTAATAACAGTAATATCTGTATTTGAATTTCAAGTTAGCAGTCGAATCCTTGCTTTGACTTGACATCTTCATTGAAGCAATTTTCTTGGCCCTTTCCTTGGTCGACTTAATTGGGTTAGCGATTGCAGTTATTATCTCTGTCATTCATTCAGCTGATTTTAGTGAACCGAGTATTGAATATGCGATTTATGTATTTCTCCTTCAACCTTTTTTGGCTGAGGTGGTGCTTTTGGTGAGGCGGTGTTTGCCTCCTTTCAACATCGAGCTCGGCTTCTCCTTCCGAGGCTTTCGCTTTGAGCCCAACTTCTTGCACTGTGGCTTTATTGATTCAGATTTAGCTTTTCAGCGTTAACTGAACAAAATGACCTAGCCAAGGTCTTCCATGCAAATTTTTGCTTTTAACCCAATAAGGTGCCTTGATTAAGGTCGTACCAATCTGCCCCTTATTTTTCAACCTGTTTTCTATCCAGGTTCTTGCTCGTTACTAGTCGTAGGTTTCCAATTCCTTGGCTTTATAATTTTTAACTCGGCTTCTTGTCATTTTCTTTTTTTGGCTTATTTTTACTTTCCCAGGTGTCCTAGGCTTTGAATTTTTGGAACGGGGAATGGCACTTCATTGCCCCTTATCTCGGCGGGTTGAGCATGAACCCGACAAGATACTGCGTACATTCCATATATCCGGGTGATGAATGAGCCTGAGTTGTTCAGATCGAACAGACGAGTTGCCCCCAAGCGCATCATCCTTGTAATTCGGCTTAACATCGTTGTGTCCACGTGTCCATTTCTTTGATCCCGGATGTGAGTTTTCAGTTCTCCTTACCAACTTTCTTGTCAGTAATCGCGGGTTGGGGTGTGATCCTTTCTTCCAAGATCCCATCTCTCCTAACCCCTCTTCATTTCATCGCGGGTTGGGGTGTGATCCTTTTTCTCATGATCCCATCTCTCCAAATCGGTCTTCATTTTATATCCCGAATTTTTATCTTGGGTTGTTGCCCCTCAGCCCGGCAGTTTGGTTGTCCGGGATACAGGGTTGCTGTGCATTACTTTTTATCGCATTTTGCAAATCAATTAGGATATTTCTATACCTTTCTTTAGCTTTATTGCATTTAAATTTCTGAATTTCAATTTTTAGATCATGCAAATAGATTCTACACTAATTATTTTGATGCAGGTGAAATTTATGGGTAATTAAGGTTCCACTGTTGCAGCTTTGCTACAACACTGCTACATCATAGCCGCGGAAGAAGGAATAAGGTGCTGAGGGAAAGAAAGTCAAGGTTAATTCCTGAATGAGATCCTAAAAGCACTCAGCAAAAAGCTGAGTTTGGAGTCCCCCAAAGCATTTTTGCAAGAACCCTGTTCTAGAAATTGAGATTGGAGTCCCAACAATAAAAGGACTTCACCATTTTGAAAATTCAATGATAACCCAGATTGTCTTGTTTCTTTCTTGTCTATATCTTTTTGTACCTACTGGAAAATATTAGTAAGGAATCTGTATGCTATGTAGGTTTAAATTTTTGTTTTATTTTAGTTTGTTTCTATTTCAAATAAAAGAAGTTAGGCAAAACATAAAAGAAAAATAAGGGACTTAAGAAGCAAACTCAGTACTGATGCTGAGTTAAGAATGAGATGGAAACTCAGTACTGATGCTAAGTTAAGAGTGATAAAGGACTTAGCAAATCATTGAGAAAGTATTGTTGTATCTCTGTCTATTCTGTTATGATCTGTATTGTTACAGGATTGCTACAGCATTGGGTAAGCATGAAAGTCAGTGGTTTAAAGCCAAAGTCTAAATGGAAACCCAAGTCAGACTTGAAAAGCATAACCAACTCAGGGTGAAAGGTCAATGGATGAACCATTCAAGCACAATGATCAATTCAAGGGAAGAGAAATTAAGGAATGAATAGCGGAAGAGGGTTTAGGGTTCAACAATTTGTTAAGTTTGAATCTCATCACATGAAACAGATTTGAGGGCTATAAGGGTGAAAGAAGCCAAGCTACAAAGTGCCAATGCACAAAGAATTCTTCCTCAAGAAAATAGAGTCAAACGAAAAAGAAAAGAGGGAAAAACCCCAAAAATAAACTAAGTGCAAAAGCATTAAAAAAAGAAGGAAGACAAAGCTAAAAATGCAAGGTGGACACTCGTTCCTTCAAATCTTGTGCACACGGATGTGGATTCAATCCTAACAGAGCATGACAAAGCAACTAGACTCGATGATTTTTAGTTTGAAGTTCCAAGATGGATCAACCTGAGAAGCAAGCTCCTAGCACACACACACTGAATCATCCAAAAGTTATGAATCCCTGAGAAGATGAAGCCAACAAGGAATACTGAAGTTGAAGTAAGGATGATGGCTGAAGATCAACAATCAACTGCACAATGCTGTAGCAATGCTGCTGCAATCTGGAGAATCTCAACAATGGCCTTTGATACAAAAGTTACTGAGTTGATGAATGTTAAACCTGAGGAGTGTTTTGTTGCTCGAGGATGAGCAACGTTTTGAGTTTGGAGTGTGATAACTCTCCAAAAGAGTTATTTTGGGCTTAATTGTGATGTTTTGGTGCTATGATTACATATAATTCTGTTGATTTTATATGATTAATGCTTGAATTCTATGATTTCATGATTTAATGGAGAATTATGTTAATTATGAGAATTTGGGCATAAATTGGGGTTTTAGAAACATTTAAATGCACTTGTTATTTTACTGCAGGTCGATGCTTTAGCATCAGGAAGCAGTGTTGTAGCAATGGAGATGAGGTCAGCAGTACATATTGTTGACATCAGCACCAGCAAACCAATTTGGTTGATGAAGCTTCTGAACGTGTACGAAAAGATCTGATTTGAAGACGCGCTCAACATCATCAAGAAATCACAAGATTATCTTCATCAAATCAATGATTACAGATCGGATTCAAATCTGAATTGTAAATATGGAAAGAATCCTGTGAGATATGCCATAGCACATGATGTCAGCTTGACAGCAAAACAATGTCAATCTCAATCTCACACGGTAGATTTGAATGAAGATTTACATGGACCTGAAGAGCTGTTTGAGGCCCAGAATATCAAGTATATAAAGGAACAAACCCTACACACAGAAGGGAGGCTAAAAACGCTACACATGCTTTAGACATTCAATCAGATCTTAGAGAAAGAAAGTGAGGGAAACACATAGAGAGAATTTGAGGGTTCGTTGAGAGAGATCCAAGGAATCAAAGGGTGAGGCTAGGGTTTGGTAGAGAGATCATCAAATCCGGTGGATCCCTGCACTATTCTGGCAGCTGAAGCAAGGTTGATGGTGGTGGAGCCTACGGTAGCTGCGGGAGCAGTGCTACAACAAGGTCCATGTTTTCTTTACTTTAGTTTAATGGAATCTTATTCTTTCTTTGTTGTTTCTTTCATCCCAAGTATGGGCTAAATTGTTATGATTGGGTGATAGAGTACCCTTATTGTGATGTAATCAGTTTGCCTAAACTTTGCTATATGATTGTCCTTTTAGTTGTTTAATAAAGTGCTTATTTTTATTCTTGTTGACTTATCGAGAGAGAGCTGCAAGATAATTAGGGTTTGAGCTATAGAGATATAGGTGAACTCAGAAAGTTATTATGCATAGTGGTTTAACTAATTTAATTAGTTAATTGTGGGTAGAGAGATCATTCACACTACAAAATCAAATTGAAGTTGCACTTAATGATTCATAACTATGTTGGCCATAGAGATGTGGGACTTAGTATACATGTAGAGTTGGTGAGAGCCCTTGCATGCATTAGTGTTCTGGTCACTGAATAGATAATTGTTGTAGCATGGTTACTGCATTCGGGTGAAGTTGCAATAATGGAGAAATTGATCCCAATCTATCTTTAATACTTGGAAAACCTATTTTATTACTTCGTGGGGAACGATATTTGGACTCACACATCCACTTTATTACTTGTTGACACGTGCACTTGCGTAATGTGTGATTGATAAAGGGGTACTCAATTGCACAACAGTAGCCCAATCACTCACAGCGGTTGCAAATTATGGAGACCAGTTCTTCCGCTAGCCCAATATGAGGTCGCCCAACAGGAAGCATTCCAGCTCTCCCAATAGGAGACCAAGCATTTCAGCAGGCCCAACATGGAGACCAAGCATTTCATCACGCCCAACAGGGAGAACAAACATTTCATCATGCCCAACAGGAAAACCAACATTTCAGCTCTCCCAACATGGAGACCAAGTTTTCATCACGCCCAACAGGAAGACCAGCATTTCAGCTCTCCCAACATGGAGACCAAGCATTTCATCACGCCCAACATGGAGACCAAGCATTTCATCACGCCCAACAGGGAGATCAAGCATTTCATCACGCCCAACAGGAAGACCAGCATTTCAGCTCTCCCAACATGGAGACCAAGTTTTCATCCCGCCCAACAGGGAGGCCAGCATTTTATCACGCTCAACAGGGAGGCCAGCATTTCATCACGCCCAACAAGAAGACCAGCATTTCAGCTCTCCCAACATGGAGACTAAGCTCTCATCCCGCCCAACAGGGAGACCAGCATTCCATCCCGCCATCAGGAAGGCCAACATTCATCAACAAACTAAAAGCTATCCAATCAACACTTGCATGCCAAGTGCCCAATGACATTCACATGGTCAGGTTTTATTTTCAACACCAGCCAACAACATCTCCTCACTAGCATATATATGTTTCTTTTCTACCGCATCTTTATAAATTTCATATGATTATAAATTTCATATGATTATAAATTCCATATGAATTGCTTAAACAATCTACGAAGGCCAGGACGGTTCTCACCCCGATATACTATGAAGGCCGGGACGGTTCTCACCCCCGGTAATTACGAAGGCCTGGACGGTTCTCACCCCCGGTATACTATGAAGGCCGGGACGGTTCTCACCCCCGGTAATTAAGAAGGCTGGGATGGTTCTCACCCCTGGTACACTATGAAGGTCGGGATGGTTCTCACCCCCGGTACACTATGAAGGCCGAGATGGTTCTCACCCTCGGTTAATAAAGTTCGAGATGTGCTACCCCTCGGCAAAAGTCCTAGATGGCCGGCGCCTGGCCAACGTCCCATCTAGGCACATTTTTATCCTCATTTATACACAACTATACTAGTTGCTGCAGGATTTA